AACCTCATTTAATAATTTGCATTATTCTTTACACTAAAATTAACCTTATTTAGCTACTTTTAAATAAAATTAACTTAAAGTTAACACGTTAATCTTAAAAAAAGTAACTTATTAAGTTAAAAATTAATTTGTAAAAAAAATAACATTCGCTATTCGAGTGTACGAAAAAGTGGAAATAATATGAAAATATATGAAAATAATAACTATCGACATTCAATATTTTATTTTCATGTTTTCATGATATCTAATTAACTAATATTCTGATGTTAATTTATTAGTATTTTATAAATAATCATAATAATAAATTAATACAATATCATCAGATACTTTAAGATTATAACAAGAAGTTTTATTTATAATAATGATTATTAAATATTATTTGAAATGTTGAAAAATTGATCGCTAATTATACTTATATTGTTATTTAAAATTTTTTTTTAATTTTTAATTGTTATCACGTTCCGGACCATAAAGATCTCTGTCAGTACCGGTCCATCTGGAAAATTCCAGATTTCTAGATGGGCCACTCCGCCCCTAAACATAACATATTTACGAAGTAATAATTGACATCCATTAAAACTTGAAAATATTAGGTAAGAGAATACATAATTTCTTAGATGTAAAAGATGTTTAAATTACATTATTGAATACAAATATATATAATACAGGAATTTTACAATATTAAATGCGATTAGATAGCAGTTGATTAGTAATCAATACATTATTCGTTAATCATTCGATGAGAATTGAATTTTTTTATTTATCCTAATTTTTATACAACTTCAACATATAATTTTATATATATTTAGTCGATAAAATGTATTTCAATTGAACTGCCTAGTTGTAATACCCAAAATAAAAGATTACAAAAAGATATAATACTGCATATTTAATTTAAATGATTTTAATGTTTAATTCAAAACGGGTTTCGTTATGTATCACTGCTAAGACAAGTGCTATGTACGTAATTTTTAAATTCACTTAGTAAAATTAGGTAGACAACAAATATTCTTGGCGACTTCAGCGTAATTGCGTGAAATTTTCTTCGACGTATACAAATAATAATCATGTCTATGTAAATTTCTTTCTCTATTATACGTTTCGGAAATCAATCACCTCGAATACTTTAATCTGACTGTGTAACACATGATGTATAAGTGTCTACTTTTGAGATGATAGTATTACATTATATTATCATGCGAAAATTGACAATGATTTCAAAATGTTGGCATGGTAAAATTTATATGAATATCGTAATATTAATTACTATCATTATTAATATTTATTACTATTATTATTATAATTATTAATCGTAATATTAATTGATGTGGGGTTGGAGACCCACGCGAATTGTGTTACCAATTTACTACGTGATCAGCAATTGCATTCAGGAATTAGGAAAATTAAAATGGTGGGCGAGCTTTTTGAGCACGCGCGTTGTATTTATGTCTATATGTTTAGCATTTTAAGTATGTATAATACATATACATTTTATACCTATATAATTTTTCTAAACTTTTAAATTAATTTATGTAAATATTTATCTCCAGAACTCTGCAAAGTTTGAACTCTATTATTTTCTAAAATCAATCTGATAAATCTGAAATCATTGATCCGCTATCATTTTATATTTATAAAACTTATGGAAAAAACAATAATGTAACCGAGGTTTTAATATTGTGTGACTTTTCGAACTTTGATAGATGCAGAAATAATTTATCTAATTGTCTTAAAAGTTTGAAAGTTGTTAACAATTTATATTCAAATATTTCCAAAATCCCTAATGAATATACAATAATATATACATATTTATATTTATATTAATATAAAATTATATTATATTATATTATATTATATTATATTATGATGGAACTCTGGCATTCAGAAAATGGATTTGTTGAAAAAAATATTTACATAGTAAAATAAAGTTTTTATTTATTTATGACAATAATCGAATTAAGGTTATTGTTTTATATACACACAAAATTAATTATTATATTCGCAGTTTCTGAAACAATATATTTTCTAATTATCGAATTTAAACGACGCCAATGAACAATACATAAACAACGGAAGTACCTATAACTATATTTGACTAACCACTTCCTTCGAAAATGTCTGATATGCAATCCATCATCTCAGTCACGTTAAACCGATGGAATGAAATCGCAGTTGATTATTATCCATTTTATTCGCCCAGTTTATTTACTACTAGGCTAATAGAAATTATTCATATTTTCAATAACCGTAAAGGACACTATGTCAAATATCTATGATATTTATGAAACTTTTGATTTCGTTTTAACAACATTTATTTTTTTATTCTAGTCTCCAATTGCAGAGAATGTTCATTCAACATCCATATATTAGAAAATATAAAATTTAATTTAACAAAAATAGTAACATTTTATTGAGAAACATAACGGCTTCAGCATATAGTATCTATCAGTACTATATGACTAGTCGACTAACTAAACTATCATATAGCGAGTGGAAAACGAATTTCACATTATATTTTATATCTCAAATTTGATCGATAAAATAATATATGCTGAAAGTAACTGATAATATATTGCACGGAAGGTCTACTTATCATTGAACAATAACGAACGCGACAACAGACGATAAATATATTCTATGCGTACAGTTTTCGTTGATTTTTCATGCGACATGTTAAATTTGTGTGGCAGATATGAATAAATAATAAAATAATATCTCGAACTAAAGGAAGGGGGCTTAAGCAAAAACAAATATTCATATTTTGAAGGGGCTGATTTTTTTTAATTTTTTTTTTTTTAATATGAGTTTTGAGGAAAAAATATTGTGATGTATTGAATGTTCGATCTGTATTAAGAGAAACGGTACAAATAACTCACGTGAGAATGAAATATGATTTAAAGGACATCGAGCAAAGCAATCTCGAACACGAGTACGAGGGGAATATCGATGTTATTGAAACAATGAAGTACTTGACTTGTGCAAATTTTTATAATACTCTAATGAGAACGTGAATTCCACTATATGGAAACAATTTTTTTATTTTTAAATAATGAATCTGTCATAAGTTTGGAATACTCGGGACTAGAAATTCGAATGTTTATCCATCTACTGCGGGAACTGATATCTGGTGTCGCAATTAGACGGTCGTAATACATTTAAAACTTTTACCTCACAATGATTGACAATTGTTGTAGAAATTCCATAATTTATAAGCATAGTGTGTTAAGATAAATGCATAATGTATATGACGTGACTTATTTGATTTGATCATTCACGTATGAAAATACATAAAATTATATTTTTCTTTCGATGGGAAAATGTTTTTTTTCCGTGTAATTCTTACGCATGGGTAGTAATGCACTATTTGATTCAAATTTATCTAAGGATGCTGATAGTAGCACAACGTAAAATTTGGTGACTTAATGGCCATAAATAATATGATTATCATTTAATATACAAAACACTAATAACGTTTGTAGCGTGATAAATTCCGCCACTGTACATTTTTTTTTTTTTACTTCAAACTAAATTAGTTTTAAATGAAAAAAAAAAAGTCATTGTTTCATTTTTATTTTAATAGACCTAATGATAATGGTCCTATGGCCACCCAACTTGGACACACCATAGGGAGGTAATAATATCCTACAGGGCGCTAATCTCACTAGATTTTAAAACGACAAGGACTAATTTAATGAATAGGGTATTCGACCTGCACCGATAAAATGATTTGTTGTTGAAAACTACCAATTTCTGTATAAAATTCATTGCTCATATGAAGCAACACGGATAATTCGAATACCACGAGAAAATTACAAAAATATTAGTGTTATACGATGTAATAAGTACGCTCTTTCTACCCTTGTAAAACGATAGCAATGATCACATCCATAGTTGGACATTCTTTATTTTATATTGTTGTGCCCATACCTCGCTATGTATCTAACAGCATCAACAAGTTTTTAAAAGCATATCGTTGCAGATACAAGAAAAAAAAAACTTGAATCCCTTGATTTTGAAAATGTTCAACATGCATTCAAGGACGATAAAATACCGATTTTTTCGGCAACAAATGCACTTACAAAATCGTGTTCACAAGCCAAGGATTTTAATCACGTCTCGTGACAATGCCTGCGAAACTCATCTCAATAAAATCGAGAACCTCCTCTATTCTAAAATCGCGAACACGGACCAGCGAAACAAACAAATATCGACGATCATTTGAAGTGTGTGAAGCACGCGTGCATTAGAAATTCAAAGATTGAAAAGTTTTCAACCTAATGTACGATTTTTTTTTTTCGTCTTTTCATCGCGATTAAAATCGTTTTTTTCTGCGTGGTACCCGGTGTCGTCGTCTTTAACTGGACCGGTAGGAGTACGCGTCTCGGACGGCTTTTTTTCGCGCACGTACATAATAAGAACATGCAAATCGGTGTTGCCGCGACGGGGTCAAAAGGTGTTCGGCGGCCGGGGCACCCGTCGTACACGCACACGCGTTGCGAAGTCACCGTGCCGCCAAAAGGATCGATACGATATATATGTGCGTGTGTGCGTGAGTGCACGGCGTATACGTTTGTGTATGCACATGCACCGCGCGCGCGTGTTGTAATAAGGGACCGGATCCGTTGGCCGTGCGGAATTGTTTCGTGAGTCGCGCCGCGCCGACTCGGCAGAGCGCACCGCAGTCGACGGATGAGGCACGCGCGACCACTCCTCCCGTCCCCTAAGCTCGCACCCACACTCGCTAAACTCTCTCTCGGCCACCCGTCACTACGAGCGCGCGGTGGCCGCACGCTCAACCCGGCCGCCGGTACACAAAGCCCACCGGCCCTCCGCGAGAGTTGACGGTGCGGCCCGAGGTCGAGGAAAAGGGACCGATTGTACACCCGTACCGCCTTCCGCTACTACACCACTTCTACCGTTGCTTTTACTACTACGGCTACTACTACTACTACTACTACTACTACTACTACTACTACGTATAGTACTCGTGGCGCGCTCGTTCCCGACCTCCAGACAGCTGGGGGCCGTTTTGCCGCGCACTCGCGCCGTCGTCTCGCATTGTTTTCGTTTCTCTCTCACTCTCTCTCTGTTTATCCGTCTCGTATCACTCGGTCACTCGCACACGGGCACTTCCGGTCGCGCGGAACCATGCGATACACCGTCGTTGCTGTTGCTGCTGCTGCTGCTGCTGTTGCTGCCGGTCTTCCGCGGTACCGCTACGACGACGCGCCGCCGACGCTGCCGTTGTCGTTCAAGTACACGTCATCCGGCCACTTGTTGACGATGGCCTCGATCCGACGCGTCGATATGTCGTCGTAGATCGACCTGTGATCTCGAAACCAGATTCACTATCTCAACCGAACCCGCCTCGACCCCCTTACCCAAAATCGCTGCTGTCCCGTGTAACTCGCTCGTCCTGCCCGGCCGGACCGAAACCGATCGCTGACCGCCGGACGTACGATAATTATTTCGAGCCCCTGCTTGTCCGTGCATTTAACATACGACGACACCGAAATATTATTAAAAATACGTCCGAACGGTATCTCCGCGACCATGCAGGAGTTGCCCAGGTACGTTTTTACACTCGTAGATTATTCGTAGTTGCACGAATCGCGTTAGCGGGTCTCGGGCCGATGACACGCTCATGTTTTTGCGTCCAACCATAGCAGCAGAGTAAAAAATATGGAGGTGCTACAGTCATTCCTACATATTTTTCAATCACTGCCTCTCAGAAACGTTTTTTCTACCCTTCACCCTCTATATAAAAAATATACTTATTGAAAGACGAGTAAAAATAAACTTATTAACTTAAAAATAAAAAAAATTTCATTATTTTAGTAGTAATCACATAGTTTTTTTTTTATTTATCAATATAATAATATAAAGTTCTACGTGGTTTTCGGAGGAAATTTGAATGTTTTTGAGTGGGCTTAGCCCCTCTACCCCCCTAAATGCACTTATGCGTCCAACACTTCGCCCGTAGCACGTGCGCTGAAAGTCCTCGGAACGCCGTCAACCGCGGCCAACGGTTTTTCGGTTCACGGTTTCGTTTCCGTTTCATCTCGCAAAGTAGACGCTCGCCGTGACACCCGTTTTCGGACGGTCCGTGAAGAACTGGACCCGTGAAAAATGTCGTTCGGTCATTTCAAAACGTAGATTTTAACCAGCACGTGCATAGCTACGTGATCTTCGCGTAGATAATATTGCCGTGTTCTCGCGGTACAGTCGACTAGCGATGCGTCCAAACGAAAGAGATTCGGACATCTTCGTCGGTCGTATTTTTCGAAATAAGTACAATTTTAGAAATTTACAAATAAATACATTTTTTATCCTTTCAAACCGTCAGATGACCGTATTGCCGTAAGCCGTTGCTGTTCCGGCGCGACCGTTGGATACGTCCGTCGGGTTTTCGCAGCCGGCGATACGGGCACCGGAAAACGCGCTAGCAAACAGCTTCCGCGACTGCGATACAATTACGACACAGGTCGAGTCGATCAATCACCACGCGCGTTGGTGCCGTTTTACCGTATCTGCTTGTGCATTCCGTTCGCGCTAATCAACAGTGTTCCGTTTCAACGTCATCGCCGCCCGCACGGCCGCGCAAAACAATAATAGACAGTAGCTGTGAGTGTTTTTCATTGTGCGGCCGTATTATCGCGTAATGTTTGATTGCCGAAATACTGACGAACTAATTTAACGCATTGTTTATACGCCTGTTGTGTTTACGCGTATGTTTGCAGACAATACGGATGATATAAACCGCTAACCCGGTGAATATTACAAAACGGTCACGGTTATCGAAATCGTATCGTCGTTAAGGAAATATTATTGTATTACGGGTACGCGCGTACATTTATTAAAACAAACGTTAGTTTAAAATCTGACAAGAAACGTGCATGATTTCAATCACACTTAACGAGAAAATAACACACTTTTTTCTATTCATATTTGGCATATTTTATACGTATTTTTAGTAATTTAACAGTGCAAGTGTTCTATTTTTATTCTGATCGTCCAATGCAATAAGGTCAATTGATAAAAATTAATATTTTTCATTTTTTAACTGTCATTTATCTCGAATTCGCATCCTTAAAATATTAATTGTTAAAAATTAAAATGTTATAGGTGAAAGTAATTTTATTATAACGAGATTTATAAATAATTCATTTTTCATACACCCTTTTATCCGAAGAAACATCTTATGAAATACATTTCTTTTCAATCGAGTTTAATAAATTCTAAGTTTATATTAAAAAATAATTGCAAATTTTGTAAAATATTAAAATAAATTTAAACAGAAAATAATTAATTTTTTCAATTTCTTCAATTTTAATTTTCAAATCTTACACTAGTTATTATAAAAAATATTATAAATTATTATAAACATCGTGCATATTTTAACGATTATATTATCGATGGATTTTAACATGTGATTGAAAGAATTATGGAACAATCAAATAAATGTTAGATTGCTTTTATAGGACCTTCAAATCACCAAAAACATATAATTTATTTAACACACATACAATTGTATTACTAATCATAATCTATTTACATATCAATCAATCACTATAAAAATGAATACAGAATTTCCAACTCTTACAAAAGCATCATTTATTGACGCACAGTATACATTTATACTCAAAAGGATGAAACCACTTTTATAGAACAATAAAAATATGCGAAAAAAAAAACCATAAAATATCATTCGAGAATTTTATTTTATTTATTTTTTTTTTTTTTAGAGAAAACTTTTTTTTCTTGGTACAAAAATAAAATTTAATAGAATATTTTTTGACACTTTTGGTTTTCTATATCAATAATGGCTTATATAATAATTTACAATATATATATTCTAAGATTCTTTCAACATTTATGTCAACCTAAATCATGTCATACGACCTTTATAAGACAATTTAGTTGGCATATTGAAAATTAAATTTAAAAAATTAAAAGTAAAATTATTTATATTTAATTAATTAGAAACAGAATTAATCATTAAAAGATAAAAAATGATACTCGTGAATATCTTATCAATATACTCAGTTATATACTAGTTGTATTTATCATTTGACTGATTTACAATTTACAATACTTATACAAATTACATTTATAATCAGAATGTACTGTAAATTACTTTTGTTTTATAATTAGGTTTTAAATTATTAACTACAAATATTAAATGCTTTAAGGTATGTATATTATATTTTAAGACCTAAGAAAACTATAATTTTTATTTTTTTTTTCATTAACATTTCAAACTATAATTTCCATAATTTATTAATAAATTATTTCAAACAAAATATTATGTATTCAAACTGTTATAAGACATAATAAATTATGTTATAGTTTAAAGTAAAGTTTCAACTCCTCGGTAGTTTAAACTTTTTTTAAGCTTTGAATACATTATATCCCAGGTATAGTATTCGTTTTTTGACATGTGATATTATTTTTTTTTTTTTTTTTACATATTTACGTTCTTATTCAATGTAATTTAATGGGAATAAAATCTAGAAAACGTTTCAAATTATAATTATCATAATTTATATTTATATAACTAAAAATTCCAATTAAATTGCAGTCATTATTATAATTAATTCTAATGTCAAACATGTCAAGTTGATATCGCAAATTAAATAAACGGTGCAAATACGAGTATATATTGTTTATTAATCCTTAGGAAATAGATTACATTGAATGGTCATTTACCAAATGTGCATTGAACCAGAATGTTAATCTTAAAATTAAAATCCACTACACGCCTATCTAATCCAATTTTTACCGAGATCGTTTCGTATTTTGCTCAACGTAGTATAAATTAATTCTTTAATCCGTGTCTTCGATAAAACACTATTTTCTTCGATGGCATTTTTGGAATTTAAATGATTAGGCTTTTGATAACTTTATCGCCAACATCTTTGGTACAACTCCGTCAAGTACGTGATCGGTGTGCGAGGTCGTATATTGATTATTTTGATTGTACTATGAAGTTTTCAATTCGTTTAAATCTTTTTGCGATAGAATGAAATTAGATTGAACAAAATGTAACTGTATGCTTTTTGGTTTCATTTTCTACGAGATTTTTCACATGCTCAAAGTAATTTATATTTCTGACAGAATTTACAATTATTAAATTATCGATAATACATAATATTAAAAAAAAATAATTGATTTTTATTAAAATCGGTGTTAAATTAGATTTAAATAAAAAAATTGAACGGTATTATTTTTATTATTCAGCATATATTTATATCATCAATATAACTTCAAACGGCTGAATTTCATGAATATGGTTTCACCGTTAGTATTAATTTATATATTCAAATATCGCACCTCTAGAACAAGACTGCCACAACTCAAAATTCATAGTTTTGAGAAAAAGCGATTTGAAGTTTTGAACTAAAATATTTTACAGATTTTTTTACCTATGCATTTGAAACTAAAAAATTAAATACTTACAAACGTGTTTTATAGTATAATTTCTTCAAATATTGTAAAATACCCTCTTGATGGCCCAAAATAAACCCAAAAAGTTAGACTATGGCTTTTTACAATTTTATAAGTGAATGCTAGACTGTCATATTTTGAGATGTGGCTATATTACATAGACCATTTGATTTAAAAAGTCATATACTCAAGCATGGCAGTATTGAATTTGATCTGTGTAAATTTGTATGCCACAATTCAAAATACGGCAATTTTGTATTTTAAATTACTTATAAATATTAAAATAAGACATCATTAAATTGTTATTTATTATTTTATTGGCAATTTGAAATTGTATTAATTGCTATAATATTATTACAACAATAATAAATTAAAATTACACAAAAATATAATAGTAAAGTACTTGATATATTCATACATAAATTATTTACATAAATAAAATATTGTTATATTTTGTCTGTTGTATTTAATCACCTTTATATAACTTGAATTATGGAAGATTTAATATTAAAAACAAATTAAAATGATTACTTATCTTATAAGTTGTTAAAATTATTTTTAAGCGTCAAAATAACCAACTATTAAATAAATATAAAACTGAAAATAAATTAATCACTTTCTTCATTCTTTTCGTTAATATTATATTGGCGTCATTTGTTGTATACTTGTATATTATGTTCACTGCACTCGGTAATGGTGTAAATAAAACATAATACTTGATCACTATAAGGGATAGGCAAAATAATCAAAAACATAAATAGGAATATTTTGTATTTTAATATTTCTCTAAAAGTACTTCGCAAAGATTTAAATACTTGATTATTCATGAATATTTGAATAACGTAATATGGTAAATTTGTTAAAAAGTATTATTTTTTGTATAAAAATCAATGTTTTATTAAATAAACTTAAAAATTGAATTCTTTAAGTATGCAATAACTATACAAATTATACTTATAATTTTGTAACTAATAACCGAACAGTAATTGTTATATAAAATAATAATCATCAACAATAGTATTGGCTAAAAGAACAATTATTTAAAGTTTATAAGTTAGATGTTTGATATGATTCAATTAATATTAAAAAAAATATATGTATATTTTAATTTGGTTTTTAAAGG